GTAAACTGAATTTCAGGCCAATTACCTAGAGTAAGGCCACAGAAAGGAAAAGAAAAGAAAAACCATCCCCAGATCTCTTTGTATCATCCATTGCGACAATATTCTGGCCCATACCAGATCTCTCTCTCCACGGATGATGGTACCAAACCTACTCTGATCCGATGAAGTTACAGTTACTTTCTGCGGGTATTTGAGGAATGTTATTCACAAACAACACACCTGGGCTGGTGCCGCGGCTCACTAGGCTAATCCTCTGCCTTGCGGCGCCGGCACACCGGGTTCTAGTCCCAGTCGGGGTGCCGGATTCTGTCCCGGTTGCCCCTCTTCCAGGCCAGCTCTCTGCTGTGGCCAGGGAGTGCAGTGGAGGATGGCCCAGGTGCTTGGGCCCTGCACCCCATGGGAGACCAGGAGAAGTACCTGGCTCCTGCCATCGGATCAGCACGGTGCGCCAGCCGCAGCAGCCATTGGAGGGTGAACCAACAGCAAAGGAAGACCTTTCTCTCTCTGTCTCTCTCTCTCACTGTCCACTCTGCCTGTCAAAAAAAAAAAAAAAACAAAAAAAAACAAAACACCACAAAACAACACACCTGGACTTAGATCAGTAACCACCTTCCAATCAGGTCTCTAAATTCTATCCTTAAAAATATTTTGTATTATAAAATAAAAAATTCCCACAAAAATTTATGACATATATACACAGTTTAATACAGTATTATAAGGACTGGTACTGCAGTGTAGCGGTAGAGCCACCACCTGTGGGGCAGGCATCCCATATGGGCGCCGGTTTGAGTCCTGGTTGCTCCACTTCTAATCCAGCTCCCTGCTAATGCAGGAGAAGATGGCCTAAATCCTTGGGCCCCTGCACCCGCATGGAAACCCGGAAGAAACTCCTGTCTCCTGGCTTCGGATCAACCCAGTTCCAGCTGGTGCAGCCATTTGGGGAGTGAACCAGTGGATGGAAGACTTCTCTCTCTCTCTGACTCTGCCTCTCTGTAACTCTGTTTTTCAAATAAATTAATTAATTGTTTTTTAAAAAACCACAGTATTAGCAAGTCACCTGAAGTACAGTGAAGCTGTTGGGAACACGAGTGCAGGAACCACATGACCTGGGTGTGAATCCTGTCTATCACCAAGCAGATAACCTGAGTAAATGATCAACCCTTTCTGAGCTGTAGTTTTCCAATGCATAACATGGAGAAAAGAACAGTACATCATATGGTTTCTGTAAAGGCAAAAATAACAAAAAATCAAAAGCTCATGAAACACACAGCACAGCACCTGGCACACGCCTTTCTCTGAGTAAGGAAGGTTGTTACTATTAATTATTATTTCAGTTGTTGAAGTTCCTGTTCAGCTGTCGATTCTCTTTGTTCCACCTTGGATTCCTCCTGGAAGGATCTTGCTTCCTGCACAGGAAATGAGGAGACAGAGGTTCACTCCCTCACGTAATCGTCCTCTTAGAAATTGCCTTCCTGCTCACTTCCCCATAGATCCTCCCACTTATCCAAGGAAACCGTGCTCTGTGGAGGAGGGAGCCTCCCTCGTGGTGGGGTGGGGAAACAGGGTGCCCTCAGCAACTCCAAACTGAATTGCTCTTGAACAAATACCAAACATTGGATTCATTCACTAAGCAGGTGCAGCAGAGTGGAAATATTTTAATCTCTCTTCTTTTCTTCTCTAAGCCCTAGTTCTCCAGATGTAAGTCTTGAAATGCTACCAAGGAATGTGTTGGTTTCACAGTGTTGGCTGCCTGAGAGATGGCTAAGACTGCAGACAAGTGGGGTTAGGAGAATCGGGGTTAGATTCACCGACACACTCACTCAAGCAATATTTCTGGAAAACTTGTGTTTCGGGGACTATTCCCGGCCGATGGGACACAGCAATGACTTGCTAAACATTTATTGAGACTTGTTTTATGGCCCAGCGTGCAGTCTGCCTTGGAGAATGTCCCACGAGCCTACCAACTACCTTGTATGGTACTATTTATTATCATCCTGGATGTGCAGTGGAGAAAAATTAGACTATATAATTTCCAGCTACTAATTGGCAATGCAGACTTGAATGCAGATTTCTGACAGTATAATCTGAGCAGCTAACCTTCTCCTTTACATATAATAAGGAAGAGAAAACCATTTTTAGTTTTATCATCCATTTGACTGCAGGTAAAATCAACAAATTTCTAATCATAGGTCTTCTGAGAATAATATTTACTTGTTTCTGAGTCATGGGGATTCTAATCAAATAGTAGTCAATAGTGAGTTGCCAAGAAGCAATACTTGGTAAAAATATAGTTAATTTTTGCTACAATTTATGATTATGTGACATGATGAAATTGAGTATAGTCCTTTACCCCCAATAATAAAGTTTGTTTTGCTGTCGAAGATATGTTTAAGTTTTAAGGTTGGATTTTTTTTCTAGATACTTTCAACTACTACCTAATGTGTACAGAATGAGTATTAGGCAATAGGTCAAACCACACTAGTTTTTGGATCTTTCACTGTTGTGAGTATAGTTTGGAAAACTAATCTGAACTAAATATAAATGGTATAAAACATTTCCCAGAAATTTAATTTAGTATTGAGTTAAACCATATGAAGTTGACATTTTTGCAATTAAAAAATGATCAACTATTGCCAGTTTCATGTAGTTCAACTTAACAAATCCTACTATCCCTATGCATGGGCTCAGCAATACCTAGGAAGTCAGTTTCAGGGCAGGTGTTTGGCACAGAGGTGAGGACGGCACCGAAGATGCCTGCGTCCCACAGCCGAGTGCTGGGTTCACCCCCTGGCCCTGGCCCTGCCCCTGAATCCAGCTTCCCGCTAATGCAGACCCTGGGAGGAAGCACACCACCCACATTGAATTCCTGGTTCCTGGCTTCATGGCTGTCCACTGAGGGCATTTGGGGAATGCCAGCAGATGGAAACTCTCTCTCTGCCTCTCAAATAAATATGTAAAAAATAATAAAACCCTACACAAAAGAATTAAAAAGAAATCCACACAAAAACTTACACATGAACGTTTCTAAATCTCTATCAACTGATGAGTGGATTAAATGAAATGTGGAACAGCCATACACAGGAGTGTTACTCAGTCCTAAAAAGGAATGGGGTGTTGGTACCTGCTTCAGCACACATGAATCTTGAAAACAGCATGTGAAATAAAAGAAGCCAGCCACAAAGGCTACACCCACTGACCCTCTGGATCCATGCATTCAACCAACTCTGGATGCAAACCATTTGGGAAAAATAGTTCAGTCTATACTGAACAGGTACAGACATTTTTCCTCATCATTAGACCCTAAATATAGTACAACCACTGTTTACACAACACTTATATTGATGACACAGTGTAAGGGAGATACACACAGGTTATATGCAAATAATAGGACGTTTTATGTAAGGGACTTGATCCTCTCAGATTTTGGGGTTCTTGGACACCAAGGGATGACTGTCTTCTGTTATCTACTCGTATAAAATGTCCAGCTTGGGCAAATCAATAGAGACAGGAAGACAGAAGCTGGGGAGAGGGAAGTGGAGAGTGCGGCTCCTGGGTCTGGGGTGAGGGAAATGTGAAATCAACCTCGTGAGTGTTTCAAAAATCACTGACTTGAATGCACACTTGGAAAGGATTCATTTGATGTTGTGTGGAATACATTTCTTTTCCAAAAATAGAAAGAAATTCGGAGGATCTCCTCTTTGCTGTACTCTATTGTTAGGGACTGTCAAGATACATTGTAAAGTAAAAGACACGTGTTTACAAACCTCGGGAGCATTAGGAAATGTTCCCTTGTTTAATTATAAACCGACTGGAATGTTCGGAGATTTCAGTAATCTGGCATTGAACATTAAGAGGATTAACTTGACTTCCCCAGTGTTACCAATACTAATTTAAACGGCATCACTCAAAAACTACAAACACCCTGCAAGGATGACTTCCACGAAAAAAAAATACCAATTAGATTAATTACCTATTAAGGCTGTCATCATTTAAAACACCTTATGCTATATTTACAAGCTTTTACTTCCTTCAGTATTGAATTGTGCCTTAAGATCTAATATTCGGGAGCGTCACAGCTCTAACCACTTATTAAAGGCTCAGGGGTGGGCGGGATTGGACAGAGACTCATCGGCAAGGCTGGCATCCCAGGAATAGAGTCAGGCTTCAAGAAACCTAAATTCTCGCTTTCAAGGCAGACCCGTGGTAAGAACTAAAACGACCACATCCCAGGGTACAATTTTGCTAAAAAGTCGAAATGCAACACTGTCGCAGACATAGACCGTACGCGGTCAATCACAGACCAAGAAATAATAGACATCTATTCTCTTAGTTACCAGAACTAAGTGTTGTTGTTGTTGTTTTTTTTTCTTTGTCTTTTAAGCCAAAGAGAGTACCGAAACAGTTGAAAAGCCGCTCAGAGCCGCCTGCCAATCATAGAGTCTCATTCGGGGGTGGAGGTGGGGTTGAGGACCCGGCCCCCGGCCGTTACTCTGAGCGACGGGCTTTTCCCGAAAGTGCTCCTAAACCATCGCGCCTTCCCAAAGTGTCTCCCGGGGTCTGCGGTTGGAGGAACGCCTCCGGGTCGCTTTCTCCCGACCACCGCTCAGAGGGGAGGAAGGCGTGCGAGGACGAGCAGCCCCGCACGCCTCCCTCCGCCTCGCCCCGCCAGCTCCCGCCGTGCGCCAGCCCCGGGGGGCTGCACCGCCTCCCCCGGCCTCCCGGGAGCCCGGGCCGCCGCGGCCGAAACGCGGTGCGGTTCCTTTAACGGAGCGCGCCCGCGGGGTGTGCGGGGCAGGGCTGGGTCCTCCGCCTGCCGCTGCCCGCTCCCCTCCCCCGCCCGGGCGAGTTTCAGGTGAATGGGTCACCGGGGGAGGAGGCCGCCGCACCACACCTCTCGCGAGCGCCCGCCTCCCCTGGCCGCCCGGGTCGCGCGCAGGCAGGCGGCTGGAGTCCGGGCAGCGGCGGCCGGAGCGCGGGGGACGCGGCGGCGGCAGGTGGGACTCGCGAGGGCCTCTCGCGCCCCTGGCCGGGCGCGGGTGCGCATGCCCGGGGCAGGGCGGCCGGGGCCGGGCGGAGGCCGAGGGCTGGGTCCCCAGCGCAGTCCCGGGCTGCCCGCTGGCGGCCCGCGCGGCCTCAGGTGCGCCAGCCAGGTGAGCGCGCTCCTCGGCTCCTGCGGCCCCCGGGTGGGGGGCGGTGAGTGGGTGAGAGTTGGGCGCGGCGCCAGGGCCGCAGGGGGCCCCGAGGGTCCCCGCTGGGCGGCAGAGGCGGCGCCGGGGAGGACGCTCAGCGCTGGTTTCGGTGGCGGTTTCGCCCGGGGGCTGCGGGACCGTGCAGGGAGCAGCGCCTGGCGCTGGGGGAGGCTGCGTGCCCGGGCCGCGGGGGCCCAGCTTTGTTCGACCCAAACGCACAAGTGACCAGGGTCCGGGCGGCGCGGGTAGCTTTTCTGTTTTAGGGGGGCGGGAGGTGTAAGGACTGCGCGCTAGGCTCTACAGGTCTTTTTTTTCTTTTCTTTCTTTCTTTTTTTTTCTTTTTTTTTTTTTTTTTTGAGTGGGGGTGGTCCTAGGCACAGGGGCGCGGCGCCGGCTGCAAGGTCCTAGGCCAGGGGTGGGGGCCAGAGGTCACTGGCCGGCCGGGGCGGCTTTGGCCGCACCCCACCCCCTTGGGCGTCCAGGCGAGGGGTGGCCGGTTTGCTCCGGGTCAGAATTCCTGGAGTCGCGCCGTGAACCACCCTGGCCTTTCGAAGCCACTCCGTGAGAGTTGTTTGAACCCGCGTCGATTTAAGCCAGGGGGCGGAGAGTGAGTTTCGAGTGAGGCTGGACTTCTAGGGAAGCGGCTCACGCCTCGGGTCCTCACCCGTGACCGAAAGGCCACCGCCAGGTGGGCGGACCTGCCTGCGGCCGAGCCTGCTCGAGCGCCGCGGAGCGCGCGGCCGGGGACCCACGGTCGCCGCCCGACCGGCCAGTGTGGGAGCCAAAATGGCCTCTGCGCCCTGGGGCTGGGAGCCCCTCCGAGTCCCTGGCCTCTTTGTGGAGCGCCGGAGCCCGAGGGGGAAGCCCCGGGGCTGGGCGGGCTGCAGGCCGCTTTCCAGGTTCTGCACAACAGGTGCATTATTGGATCCTGGGAAAACAGGAGCTCTTCCCACGAGGGTGATTCGGGTGACGTGCTGAGGTCGAAACCTGGTTCTTTCTAGGTGGAGGTAGGTTTCTCAGACTTCTCGCAGGTGCAGCAGTTGTTATTTTGCAGGGTACCTGTGCTTTGTGCTACTGGTGTTTTTAAAAGATATTTTAAATGGTGGAGCCACACCTATAGATATCTCCTTAGGCAAAATAACACTCAGTTAAAAAAGTTTGCGTTTATTTAGTTGTTAGGTGTTTGTTCCGTGGAGAGGGGGTGTAGTGACATGGGTAACACAGGCTATGCACCTGCCAGCAGGTTCTTTACCTGGCTGTTTAGGGAAGTAATGGGCAGTGCCTCCTCTACCCAAGGCAGGTCCTGTTGGACCTGCATTTTAAGGTGGCTACCGGCTTGCAGGGGAAGGATGGAACATGGGCTGGCTGGAAAGCTTCACCTGACCTGGGAAGGTGTGTCGGATGCCTCAGTGCTTGATAGTCCAGCATCAGAGCAGACTTGGCGAGCTTTCCTGAGGTTCTCTGCCATTGACCAGTCCCTGTGGCCTTGCCCGACGTAAAGGTGGAATTCCTCGTTTTCTCCTGAAGTTAATGTGGGAATTGCTGTTGTCTTTTCAATGAGGCAGTTCTGTGTCACCGCGTGAGTAGACGGGTACATCTTTCACCTCTGAGGAGCTTCACAGAAGGAAGTTTTCATTGATTGCATTAAAATAAGAGGTTTTTTATTTATTTATTTGAAAGGCAGAGTTACAGAGAAAGAGGAAGAGACAGAGAGCGAGAGCGAGCGATCTTCCATTCGCTGGTTCACTCCTCAGATGACTGCAAAGGCCAGAGCTGGGCCGATAGTAGCCAGGAGCTTCTTCCAGGTCTCCCACGTGGGTGCAGGGGCCCAAGGACTTGGGCCATCTTCCCTTGCTTCCCCAGGTGCACTAGCAGGGAGCTAGATCTGAAATGCAGCAGCGGGGACTCTAACCGGCACTCATATGGGATGCCAGAGTTGCAGGCGGCGGCTTTAGCCGCTATGCCACAGTGCCAGCCCCCCAGTTTCTTCCCCCCACTTATTTGAGAGGCAGAGAGCCCATGCACAAGCGCTCTCATCTGCTGATTCATTCCCAAATGCTCACAGTGGGCAGGGGGCCACAGTCGTAGCCCAGAGCTGGAGTACAACCCCAGGTCTCCCACTGGGATGGCAGGAGCCCAGTCATAGGTGTGTCACAGGTACCTCCCAGGACGCCCACCAGCTGGAAGCTCAAGTTAGGAGTTGGAGTTTAGAATTAAACCCAGGCACTCAGATGCGTGTTGTGGGCATCTTAACTGCTCTAACCTATACTTTTAAAAGGCAAATTGACTCTTGCTGCGTGTGATGTAAAAGGAACAGACTCCCCATAAACACAGTAAGGTTACCTGTTCACTTGTTGACAGTTTTCCTTAAGGAATAAGGTGAGAGCAAAGCATTTTCAGACTCTTTCCCAGCTCAGCTTATGTTTCTTTTTTAAAAAAAAAATTTTTTTTTATTTGACAGGTAGAGTTATAGACAGTGAGAGAGAGATAGAAAGGTCTTCCTTCTGTTGATTCACTCCACAAATGGCCACTACAGCCGGCGCTGCGCCGATCTGAAGCCAGGAACCAGGTGCTTCTTCCTGGTCTCCCATGCGGGTGCAGGGGCCCAAGGCCTTGGGCCATCTTCCACTGCTTTCCCAGGCCACAGCAGAGAGCTGGATAGGAAGTGGAGCAACTGGGACTTGAACCCGTGTCCATATTAGAATTAAACCCAGGATGCTAGCACTGCAGGTGGTGGCTTTACCCACTATGCCACAGTGCTGGCTCCGAAAATGCACTTTTTAAAAACAGCTCCTGGCTCCTGGCTTCACATCGGCTAAGCTCAGCTCCGGCCGTTGCGGCCATTTGGGGAGTGAACCAGCAGATGGAAGATCTCTCTCTCTCTCTCTCTTTCCCCCTCTCTGCCCCTCTCCGTGTAACTGTGACTTTTAAGTAAAATAAATAAATCTTAAAAAAAAAGCTAACTCCAATACATTAAAAAAAAAAAAAAAACACAGCTGCACTGTGGCTGGTGCTGTGTTTAGCTGCCTCCTACTGTGCCGGAATCCCATGTGGATGCTGGTTTGCATCTTAGTTGCTCCACTTCCCATCCAGCTTCCTGCTAATGCACCTGGAGAAGCGCAAGTCCTTGGGCCCCTGAACCATGTGGTGCAGCCATCTGGGGGGTGAAGCAGCAGATGGAAGATCTCTCTCTCTCTCTCTCTCTCTCTCTGTAACTCTACCTTTCAAATAAATAAAATTTTTTTTTAAATAGAACACCATAAAGCACCTGCACTGAAAACACCAGGTCTCCTTTATTCTGCACTTAAGCTCTTGATTTTTAAAATTAAGTTTACATTTTAATTTTTTAGAAGATTTTATTTGAAAGGAAGAGAGAGGGAGAGAGAGGGAGAGATCTTCCATCTGCTGCTTCACTTCCTAAATGGCTGCTGTGGTCCAGGCTGAAGCCAGGAACCAAGAACTTCATCCTAGTCTTCCATGTGGGTGACAGGGACCCAGGTACTTGGGCCATCTTTTGCTGCCTTGCGAGGCACATTAGCAGGAAGCCTGATCAGAAGCAGAGCCAGCTGCTCCATATGGGATGCCAGTGTCTCAGGCAGCAGCTTAACCTGCTGAGCCATAGCACCAGCCCCCAAGTTTGCATTTTTGGAATGCTTACTTGGCTGATATTCAGCAGGCCAAAGTATGCGGGACAAGCAGGATTGGTTAGCACCAGTTTATTGGAAGGTTGTTTCACTTTGCAGAGGAAGGGCTGCAAGGGGTGTGTCTCAGGGAGCAGCTGAGCAAAGAGGAGCATGTGCTGGAATGTTCTGGGCCTTTGCCTGCCTGAGCTAGAGGTAGGGACGGACGGTGGTGTCTTGCAGGTGTTGTGGTAGTGTGTACTAGCCAGGCAGGAAGCTCGCTGGGTAGGGGTGCGGGCACTTGCTTGGGGAATTCTCCAGAATCACCAGGTGTGAGGACTTTTCTTTTTTAAAAGATTTATTTAATTTATTTGAAAGGCACAGTTATGGAGGTGTCGGGGGAGATACAGAACGATCTTCATCTGCTGCTTCACTCCCCAAATAGCTGCGCCAGTTAGGGCTGGGCCAGACCGAAATGAGGAACAAGAGCTTCTTCGGGGTCTCCCATGTGGGTGGCACTTGGGCCATCCTCCCCTGCTTTCCCAGGTGCACTAGCAGGGAGCTGGATTGGAAGCAGAGCAGCTGGGACTGGAACTGATGCTCATATGGGAGACCCGCTGTGCCACAGTGCTGGCCTGCAAAGTTTCTGTACAAGGCCTCAGAGAAAAAGAAATGGCTGAGTGTGTGTGTGTGTGTGTGTGTGTGTGTAGGGAGTCCTTTTCCCTAACATTCCCTCCTCTTGTTATTTGGTGAATATTCTGGTGGATGGGGTGAAGGTCAGTTCCTGCTGAACGGGCTGGCTGCAGGGCTGCCCCTACCAGGAGAAAGGGAAGCTGGGAGCACCTAGTGGTCACGGGTGCCTTGGAGTGACACCTCCCGAGTTTGTTGTCGCCTATGTAAAGCTTCCCTGAGAGCCTGGACCTGCCCTTGGACGAAGAAGGGTAGAATTTAGGAGACAGGGAGGGACCCTGGAGGAATAGAGGAAGGTTGTTATAGGACCCAGAAAGGGAGCTGGCCAGGAGGACCACCCTCAGCCATTGGTCTTGGAACTCCGTTGGTCAAAACTCCCCTGCCAGCCATGTTTAGAAAAGTTTATGGTGTTTTTGATCATGTTGTTTTTTTTTTTTTTTTTTTTGACAGGCAGAGTGGACAGTGAGAGAGAGAGACAGAGAGAAAGGTCTTCCTTTGCCGTTGGTTCACCCTCCAATGGCCGCCGCGGCCGGCGCGCTGCGGCTTGGCACACCGCGCTGATCCGATGGCAGGAGCCAGGAGCCAGGTGCTTTTCCTGGTCTCCCATGGGGTGCAGGGCCCAAGCACCTGGGCCATCCTCCACTGCACTCC